TAGTATGTGGTTTTATAACATTTTAATTTTAAATTAAATAATAAGGCTACCAAAAATTAACACTGAATGATTCTTATGTTCAGTTCTATTATTGAATTTAACTTCAACTATTAATTTTATAACATAGAAGTTTTCCCAAGAAAAACTAGACCTTGTTAAAAATAAAATTGTAGCTATAGAAAACTCCCAGGAGTATATTATCTAGAAGACAGTTGTAGAATTTATGGAAGTTTATCAAATTTATTTTGACAGAATTTCTTAAAACATTCCTTATTTAACTGCTTTATAGTCTTCAAATCATTTCCAGAGACAGTAAACTTGATTCCCCATTTTTCATTTTAGTTCGCACACTCTTCAGACTAACTGTGTAAACTTTGTATGATAATAAACAAATAACACTCACATCCTGGCAACTCATAAGATGAAGACACTATAGAAATATTTCAGCATAGAAGAGCCAGAACATCTGTTTTAATTGATCAGAATGCTGGAATCAGTGCAGCACTCCCACACGCACTGTGTACCATGCAAAAATTCCTGTCTCCCAGTAAAACTTTACCCATCACTGTTTTATGTTAAATGCAGAGTACAACAAACTCTTTCATGAGCTGAACTGTTTGATGGAGGGATATCATCAGGAATGATGCTTTTTTCTTTGTACATCTCAACGAGAACAGGACTAACACCATCTCTCCCTCAGCCATGGGAAACAAGCTTGCAGTTATGGACCGTTTCCCTCCCCCACCAGAAATGGTATAACTGCGCTTTGAGCCAAATGCTGAGGGTTAGCAGAGTAACCTCACATGAGAATAATTACTTCACATAACCATGAGAGCAAGCAATGAGGTTCCCAGACACAGGAAACGAAAAGCCAGAAGGGGAGGTAGAGTTGGAGAGGGTTCTGAAGCCTTTCCAGACAGCAACTTCCTTCTAACAGCAAATTGGGTAATAAATTTATCACTTTGGCATTTGATATGTACATATATTCTTAAATCACCTGGTTATCATAATGTTTTGCAATGCACATCTTAGCAATGGCAGGAAATCAACTGCATTCCTATTCTCTAAAGAACAAATAAAATCTTTGTGATATGAATATTCATTTTCATATTCCACATCATGTGTAGGTTTAATATTTCAATCAAACCACAATTGCAACTAAACTCAAAGAATGAATACTGCTGGAAAGAACTGGCTTGGTTATCTTCACATAGAGAGAGGAAATTATTATTCGATGCAATGCCTGAACCATAGGAAAAGAACTCTTGACCTCCAGAGACAAAGGGAAGCGGGGAAAGCGATCCTGTTATGTGCTGCTCTGCTTTGCTGGTGCATTTATGACCGTAAGACATTCCTGGTTTGAAGGAAAAAAGTAGAAATTCAGTAAATTCGAACAGTAGGTAGGTCTGCCTTTAGATCTGGAATTGCATGCGAGAAAACCATTCTTATAGAGGCAATCACAGTACATTTTCTTATTGCACTCATTCATCACATATTTTTAAAGCTGGGCTCAGTGTTAGATGCAGGAGACACAATGATAAATGAGAATGGTGGCAGCTTGCCTCAAGGAACTTGTGGTCTAGTGGGTCAGACAGGCAAGTGAATTGGCAAATACAATAGAGTGTGTGTTACATGCTATTACAGGGTTAACAGAGGGTGTCCTGGGAGCACAGGAGAAGGGCACAAACCTAGCTGGATCATGAATACTTGCCAGACAAAGAGATGCTTAAGCTGAGATCTGAAGAACAAAGGGGAGTAAGCCAGAGGGGGCATAAGGGAGAGATATTTTAGGTAGAAGGTTCATGGTATTCTCATATGGAGCAGATTAGCAGGAGTAGATAGAGGCAGAAGAAAAACATGGAGAGAAAGGCACTGGAAGGAGGCAGAGCCAGAGCTACGTACAAGGAACACTAGCTGGGAGGCATTACATCAAGGGGCAGAAACCTTGGTAAAGGGACACATATTCTGTCTTAAAATTCAGGGCTAGAGTTTCTATACCTAATTTTATGATTATAGCACTATTACTATTACTGGAGTATAAGAGAAAGGTTTATTTTTATTTGCTTGATGAGGAGTAAAAGGGTTAGACAAGCATACCCTTATCACGTATGCAATTCATTGGTAATGTATCCAATCGGGAGACTAGCAATGTGCAGACCACGGGTAATGTCCTGTGCCTTGTCCATAAATGAAGAAATTCCCCTGATAAATGATCAACATTATCATTATTTTAATTTGAAAGTCTCAGAAGAATCTGATTAGAAGTTGATTCTAACAGCAAAGGCTCTAATCAAATCAAATTCTAAGCATATATCAAATAGCTATTGTGTTTGAAGCATATAATCTATTAAGTTGTGGCAATTTGCTTTTAAGATAGAAATTGCCTTGATGATTTGATGTGTTGAGAAACAGCTTTTGTATGGCTGCCCTGACAGGATGGATCTCAGTGTACAAGATGTCAAAGGCTGTGTGACTATGGAGATAACTGGCTTGGTGTGAACATCTCTGGTTTCCACATTTCTCAGATCCTCTGCCAGAGTGACATATTGGGAACCTTGACTTTCCATTGCAGAACATTTCTGATCATTTCATACAGAAGTTATATTTGTTTATTTTCCATTGTTGCCCTCAGCAAGAGGAGGTTGCTTAGATTAGACCCAATTAGTAATCAACAGTCAGTTACTGGATGTTCTCACTGGCTCTTTAACCTGTTTTCCCAGATCTGCTGTACTCTGTTTCAATGAAGACAGTAATCACCTACAGTATTATCTCTGGTTCCAACTCCCTGCTATGCATGTCAGAGATTCCTATGCCAAGTCATTGGACTACTCTTCTTCCTTCTTCCCATGACCACCATTTTAATCTTCTTCACTCTACTTTTCTCACTTGTATTTTCCCACATTCCTGTTTTTATGTAATAGGCCAAGGGAGTTTATGGGAGTGTCTGCATGCACATATAGATGCGCTTGGCACAATTAGCCCTGGCTCACCCATGCACAACCATCACTTTTAGGGTTTCTACTTTATTCAAAGCTAGAGGCCCAGTGCATGAAAATTTGTGCACTTGTTGGGGTAGGGGGTCTCTTAGTCCAGCCTGTGCCCTCTCACAGTCCAGGACCCTTCAAGGGATGTCCACCTGCCAGCTTAGGCCTGCTCCCCTGGTGATTGGGCCTGAGCTGGCAGTCAGACATCCCTCTGGCAGCCCATAGTCAGACATCCTAAGCCACAGTCGGACATCCTTAGCACTGCCACAGAAGCAGGAGAGGCTCCCGCCACCACTGATGTGCTTGCAGCTTGCAGCCATCAGCCTGGCTTCGGGTTGAGCAGAGCTCTCCCTGTGGGAGCACACTGACCACCAGGGGGCAGGTCCTGTGTTGAGTGTCTGCCCCCTGGGGGTCAGTACATATCATAGCAATCGGTCATTCTGGTTATTCTGCCGTTAGGGTCAGTTTGCATATTACCCTTTTATTATATATGATTACAATCCAACTTGCTATAGACAACACTCCATATACAAAATCTTATGAATCATTAAATAATATAATGATTAAGTTCTATACTTCTATCTATATTGCCATTAAGTATTAAGGGTTATTTTTTGTCCCTAAAACCAAATACAATATTTTAATTGTTTTGTAATGAATGCATATATTTTATATATAGATTAATTTACATGGTTAAGTTTTTGCATTTCTTGAAAATTCAGTGTATCAAATAATGTGATTTGTTGGCAAATTGAATCCATTATCAGTTTAGGTTGTAAGTGTGGGTATTGGAAAGGTTCTGCTAACTCATTTCCCTTCCTCCCTCCTGTTCTTTTCAGTCTTTCTTGAAATTAGAGATACTATGTTTTTTGAACAATTAAAAACTAGATAGAGTGATTTTTTGATTAACTTAGTAATAGGTTTTTTTTCTGTATTGCCATTTGAAAGGTCCTTTTATACTACCGGTCTATTTAAAAGCTATGTCTTCAATTGACAAAACTTGCCATTTAAAGTCCTATTTCAGAATATGATTGCTCAGAATTATTTAATTTCTATGGCTAATACAGAGAAGAAAAAAAAAAGGCTGAAGAAAGTGTTTTTTTCTGGGCTTAGAATAAAGACATTCCAGAATATTTGGCATAGATGGTGATTTCATTTGACTTTTAGTTCATTTGAATTCTTGTAGCAATTTCCCCCTTACATCTAGAAACCAAATATGGAATATCTAATTCCTTTTGACTTTAGTTTGTTTTGGTACTAACTCATCCTCAAAGCAAGGTGACCATGGTAGCAGTGGGTGAGTTATCCTTCTCTCCCACTAACTTTATCTAATTTGTCTTTGGAGCCTATTGGCCAGCTCAGGAGCGGGCACACAGTAGGCACTCCTTAAATATAAACTGAAGAAATGAAAGAGGCAATGGTAAACTGATGCCTATTTTAAACAGTTTAATAATACTGCTCACTGAGGTCCCGGGAGGCCTGCTATTGTGTGAATCCTATTATTGCTAAGTCACCCAGATAATCAAGGAAACTAGCATGTGCTTGGGCTCCACCCATTAATCTAGTCAAAATAAAACAGGTGCTTTTCCTTTTAAGCTATACTGTGGACGTCAGGCTTCTGCACAGCATTACATTAAGAGGGTAACTGCAACTGAATATATCTATATAGAGCACTTTTTGGGCTCAGTAGGTCTCACCCTGAAAATTAAATCTCAAAAAAATTAAGTGATCACTCCAAAATTGCCTATCCACTCAGCAATAAGATTCCAATGCTGCATGAAAGACCTTCACTTTGAGGAGTCACTTCTGAAATACTATTTGGTTAATAATTAAGTTAGAAAATTAAGTGTAACATTTAACAAATAACAAACATTTAAAATCCTACTAGTAAGATAGCAGAAACTGCTCTCAGAAAAACAGACTGAAATCCAGGTCAGAAAAGTCTGCAGCAACTCTCTTACTGCAGAATCAGAGCATATGTTCAAACTTGCAGATACATTTGTGGTTACTTCCTACCTTAAATACATTGATAGGGAGATCAATGATCACATAGATAAGGTCTCCAAGGGCAAGGCTGGCTATCAGCGCGTTGGGTCCATTCCTCATACACTTGTTCTGGTAAATGATTCTGAGCAGAGTTGCGTTCCCCACCATTCCCACGATGAAAATAGTACAAGATATCACAGTGTTAATGTATTTGAAAGCTGAAGTAATCTTTGTCTGCTGTGGACAATAGTTGTTCATTGAGCCATTGCTGGGTAGGGCCAAATTAGTGGGTCGATGAGTGGTAACCAGGAAGCCAAGCTCTGTCCCACGAAAAGTGGTAAAATCGTCTATATGCGTGCTTAGATTGGTGCTGTAGCTCTCAGGATTATCACTAATTACACATCCAACCAGCGCCACCCAAAAGGACACCCTGAAGCAAAAGGTTTCCATCTTGATGCAAATTTGAGGAAATGTCTCTTATTCTGTTGCTTTTACACCCTCACTTTTTTTTTTTCACCTAGAAAAAAAAAAAAGAAAAATAATTTTGGTTACAAAAATCCAGCTGCCAGTAAGACTGCAGTAAATGATTATTTACTGCTCCAGTTAAAAAGCAGGATATATTTGGTAATTAGATCATATATATTTAAATATATATATTATATATAATCAGCTTACCCCAAAGCAGAACAAAATCAGAAAAGAGCAAAAGCTCTATTAGGACAATCTTCCTCTCTTGCGCGCGCTCGCTCGCGCTCTCTCTCTCTTCCTCTCTCTCTCTCTCTAGCTATACTTATATCTAGATTATAATACGCTTGAGGAAATGTCAGTTTTTTCTTTAAGAAGTAGCTTAAAAGTTGATGTTTTCCATTCACTGCACCTCTGCTAATAACCTGAATTACAAAAATCTTGGAGAGGTGAGATACATTTTACTAGTGGAAAAGAAAAGGCATTAAATGCTGAGTAAAAGTTACATAGTGCTAAGGCATAAAATTACCAATTCTATAATTAAAAATCCAATATTCCAAAATGTGTGCTGGTTTGCATGTGGTAATAAAATGCAGCATAGGTAGCCATTTAAAGCATTATGCAATGTTAATTTAAAATCAGAATATGGTTAACACCATCACTACAATTTTAGTTTTAAATAAATATGGTATAACTGATAAAGACAAAATATTTTTATTGAAATTCCTGATGATTAATGTGTACAATCTACATCTTCTGACAGGAGTTTTGGCTTTTCCATTCCTCAGAAATTATTGGCATGTTATTTGCCAACAAGAGAAACTGGGAGTAATGGACTTTCCCAGGCAGGCACACCATTGGTTTTCCAAGGGATTTTTGTCTCAAGCCTAGTCATGGTGTTGGGCACTCCATAGGCATGATGCCATCTGATCTATACCCTCCCTGACCCCATGAAGCAGATACACCTTCCATTCTGAAAGTAAGGAACCAGAGGCTCAGGAACATCAAGATGCTTGTCAAAAGCACAGGTGGTGGATGGCAATGCTTTGATTCTAACGCAAGTTAATCTAACTTTGAGCTCTTCACCTCTAGCCTGCACTGCCTCTCATTCTCATGCCTTCTTAGCACCTGAAATGTTTGAATGAAATTCTCCACGGTTTCAGTAAAGCAGTAGACTTAGAGGTTTGTGAGATCTTTTAAAAAGACCATTTGTTTGTTTGCTTGCTTGTTTTAGTCACTTTTGTAGAGCAAGTGGTCTTTCTTGCCCGGGAAGTCTATGGTTTTCTATTATAATGCTTAAAGAAAAGATGGGAAAATGAGGGGGGTTGGTGGTAACACAATAAGCAAAGACAAATAAAAGTGGCTCCTCACATTTAAATAGTTTTGTATTATCCTTCTTGTGAGTTTTTATCAATCTTTTAAAATGAATGCCCTAAGACAGTGGTCAGCAAATTCATTAGTCAACAGAGCCAAATATCAACAGTACAATGATTGAAATTTCTTTTGAGAGTCAAATTTTTTAAACTTAAACATCTTCTAATGTCACTTCTTCAAAATAGACTTGCCCAGGCCATGGTATTTTGTGAAAGAGCCACACTCAAGGGGCCAAAGAGCCACATGTGGCTCGAGAACCACAGTTTGCAGACCACGGCCCTAAGTTCATTTATGCAATGGTGGGTGTATCTATGACATAAAACTTAATTTTTAAAAATTGTGTCCTTTTCCTGAGTTTATTTGTGGTTGTAATAAACCACTTTTAGGGATTTTGAATCACTTTGACAGTTATCAATAAAGCTTAGTCAATATATGGAGGAAATGAGATTTATTCATGTTGTATAGAAGATCTAATGTAAATATAAGATACAAATATTGCATATGTTAACCTTCTCCAGGAAAGCAAGTAGTTTTTTCTTGCTTCTTATATGGTTGAGTGAGTGTCTAATTGAATATTGACAGACCCTGTTTCCATGCAGCATTGGAGACCAGGACTCTGAGAACAACGCATACTGTCATCCTCTTCAGATCAGAGAAGGGAGGGGAAAAAATCCTTCAATATCTTGTGCTGTTTAATGACTAAAGCCTGCTCCCAGTTTCCTAATCAGAATAGAACCTTTAGTAATAGTTTTATTAAAACCAAGAGAAAGAAGGCTTTTCTCAGTAATGGAATGACTCCCTGCCCATTAGGGTCTGTTAAAGGATAGTTAGTAGACTGACCTGGCTATCGCATTCTGCCACCCACAAAAGGTGCCACTAGTGTTGAACACTAGCTGCTGGTCTCCTAGGTCAGCTGATTATAGCAGGAGCTAAGGAGGCCAAGGCTGTGGGTTCTTATCAAAGTGTGAGCTAGCTACTATTAAAACCACTTCCCTTCCCCCTGCAACAATGACACCCCCACAGAATTTATTTGTGATGGTGTCTCCGTCAGCTCTCGACATGTTAAGCTGCAGAGCTACCGGATACTTGGCAAAGGCATGTGAATACCACATATTGCATGAAAAATACAAAACCACACAAAAGAAGCTCCTTCAAATGTCTGTTCCTCCAAGGATGAGTCTGTAGCTCACTTCCATCGATCTAAGTCATGCTGTCCTTGGAATAGTCAGTCATACCCAATCATAGCTCTAGTGAAGTGTCTGAAGTTCAGACCTCAGGGACGTGGTTTATATATTCAGCGTTCTTCTGTTTGGGGGGTCTGAGAATTCGCTGAAGTTCGAAAGTTATTGTTAAGGAAGAGGACTGGATCCTTATGCTTACACTCGAACCATTTAACATCTCTGATTCTCAAGATCAAAGTAGACCTGTACTATAATTAGTAATTTAGAGAATCCAACCTTCCCTAAATGGTCTTTCAGAGCAGGTAGTTACATGAAATGATTGTCAAGATGTTTTCCAATTAGTTACTACTTAAAACAGAAGTAATTGGGGAGGAGAGGGGAAAGCCATGGGTATATACAAGAAGAAACAAAAAACTAGGTACATTTTACAAGTTTTCTGTGGGTTTTGCTGGCTGGGTTAGAGCTCAGCAACTGTCCTTACTGACAATGTCTGACTTTAATTTGCCTCCCACCCAGCCCCCTCCGCCGCCAGCTCTAGCCGGAACGCCATTAGGATGGTGTAAACAGAGCTGATTATCTAGAAACAGCCCCAGTTTTCTGCACGTGAAAGGCAACAAGTGCCCTTTAAAGGACAGCATACAACCGAACGCCCAGACATCCACAGGCAGGTTTCCAAACCAGCCTCCTGGGGGTTTTCCAAAACATCTGTCCCGCACACCCAGTGCCCTTGGCTACCCTTGACAAGGGCACTGGGTGTGCAGGGAGAAGACGCAGGCGAGTTAGAAAAGGCTGCTGGACACCTTTCCCAAGTAGGCTTTGGAGCTTGCGACAGGGGCGTGATGTTCCATAAAGTTCTTGCGTGCCCGGGGAAAGGGAAACCCAGGGAGAACTGTATATTTTCCTTTCACTAAAAATCCGAATCCCACCTGGGTAGGCAGCGGGCTTTCAATCAGTTCCTCAAATCCCAGACGCGCCCGCAGAGAGCCCCTCCTAAAAAGGCGCCGGCGCCCACCGCGCACCCCTAGACCGTATGAGGGAGGGTGCCCCGAGGTGCAGGGCGCCGGGCGAAATTAATGTCTGCTCCCTCTCCTCCCAACCGAGGGGCTCAGGCGGCATCTTCCCCCACCCCTGGCCGGTCCCCGAGAGGAAAGAGTTGCACCGACCGTGGAGCCAGGCGGGGCAGACAGCTGCCCGGTCCGCGCGCGGCACCTGGGCGGCGGGGCGAGAGGAAGTAGAGCCGGAGAGGTTGGGTGGCGTGGGTCCTGGGCTCCCGCGCGGCGGCGGCAATCGGGCTGCACTGCTGCCTCTGCGCCGGAAAACTTCCTGGGCACCGCTTCTGTGCGGAGGTCCCCCCTACCCCCAGCCTCTGGCCACCGGCTGGGATGGAGCCTCGCCACCACTGTCCGCAATCCGCAGACCGCAGGGATGACTGCGCGCGCAAGGACTAGCAAGAAAAAGGAAACTCCAGAGGAACACACGCCCCCCTTCTGTCTGTCCTTGCCTTCTCCTCCAAAATCTTTCCGACTTTCTGCTCTACTTTAGGACGGAAAGTACGTGTCCTAAGCTTTCAGCCCTCCTTATAGGCAGCCGCTATAAAGCGCAGAGCCGCCCCCTCCCAGGCCCTGCAGGGCAGGAGTCTTGTTTTTAACTCTTTCCTGAAATGAAGGAAGGGGAGAGTGTGTGTGTGTGTGTGTGTGTGTGTGTGTGTGTGTGTGTGTGTGTGTGTGTGTGTGAGAGAGAGAGAGAGAGAGAGAGAGAGAGAGAGAGAGAGAGAGAGAGAGAGAGAGAGAGAGAGAATCCAGGAGGGAGGATAGTTCATCAGAGGAGCTGGAGAACCCAGGAAGGGATGCAGAGAAACCCATTCCCTTCCTGGAAAATGCAGGCAGATTTTATGTGTTGGAGCCACTGCAGTCAGAGGCAGCTTGGGTCCTAGCTCAGCTGCTCCTTTGCGTTCCTGGCCCTTTGCTTGGCTTATATGCTCCCTCTTAAACTCAGAGCAGGTTGAAGAGTCCCATGTGGACTGCACTTTACTGGATCAAGTACCTTTTGCTTCTGTCTTGTCCATTGAAGCCAGCACCCAAAGGCTATACTAGTCCAGAACAAAGCAGGAGCCTGGGGAAGTCTATGGAGGAGTCCAGTGTGTGGCTCAGAGAGACTTATGATTCCTCTGGAAACCCAAACAGTGAGGGTACAGATGCCGCAGAAGATGGATCTCAGCATCTTTATATGACAGTGCGTTTATCCTAAATTAGGCAGTGGGAGAGGAGATGAGAGACAAAGGCCATTGCCTGTGACAGGGAAGAAAAAAATTGAGGGCTCCTTAGAGAAGGCTCTGCCTCGGAGTTTTTTCGTTCACTGTTGGTGTGAGGCTTATTGAGGAAATGTGTATGTGGAGGACTGGATGGTCACACTATGTTATAGACTGTTGTA